ACCCTGACGGGCAAAAAAAATCTTAAAGTAGCCTAAGCTGGTTTGCTAGTCTTGTCTCCCAGCTGTTGGTTTTAGACTGGTTTTGGAAACTTGTGAGCTGGTCAACCAGAGTAGACTGGTTTAAGAAGTTTTTTTCCCCCGGCAGATAATATGCCAAAAGACACGGACATATTAAAGCTTACCAAGTTCTATCTTACAGTTTTTGCATTTAATACTTTTTATTTATACTTAACAGGCCGTCTAATGAACGTCAATACACCTGATTTGCCTTTCTTTCAATAGATCTGGGACCACATGCACCGTTCCGGCCCTTTTAACAGACTGACAGAACCAGTAGCCAATGACGCTGCGGGGATCTATTTACTCGGATCGTATCGACCAATCCGAACGCAGATGGGGCGGGACGTCGGTGTCAGGAGGCGGAGCTTATGCCTGAAGTTGAGTTCCCCGTCTGCTGTAATGAAACTTTCTGAAACTTCGCGTCAGTTCTCTGTTGCTGCTCCGCGAGCGCACACTGCCTGCCTTCTTCAGACAGACTTATATTACTCATAATAATGCACGGCCATGACACTCTACTGCTACTCTTCTTGTCTTTTATTCTCTTTCGCATCGGACAGAAGGCAATATCAGGTAAGACTGCAGCACCTGCGGTACTCCGGACAGAAATTCACCATGGTAACCAGTTTCAGGCATATATACCAATATTGCTACAGTTATAGGTGCTAGAGGAAAATTAATACATTTACAGAAATAATCTGAAAGCTTATAGCAAAGCTATTCCCGTATGAACTTATTTAAATGTTTTGCAGTAGTCACGATAGCGGCGGAAACTGCGGTTACCATGGTAATCTCTCGTCTGGGTCATTTAACCTGTAACGTTAGCAACGGCGACTTTGTCCTCGACTTGGTTGTATTATTTTAAGCTGCATATTTTCCCTGCTGCTTACAAAAAAGTTTCGGCCACGTTGTTTCAGTTAAGATGAAATTGTTTATTTAAGAGCAATATAAGGGCTTACCACCCAGGTTGCGTTTCAAGATGTTGGCTGCGTCTCAATACCTAGTAAGCTGCCTACCTAGACAGCTTTTTTGGGGGGGCTCTGCTCTTTTGGCAGAGTGCTTGTTACATCACAGTGCTGAGCGGGCACGTGAGCTCATGCAACTAACTGCATGATGGCCAAAACTGCTGTCTACTAGAGAGTCTTCATCTTACAAGAGTACAGGAGGCACATTCTCTGTGTAGTGAGCTTCCTAACAAGACAGTTTTAGGGCATTTTGTGCATTTTAGACAATCTTGAGAGTGCGTGCAAGCTTGTGCAATTGTTTGATGCTCAAAAATGCTGTCTAGATAGTCAGCTCATTAGAGTACGGAAGTCACATTCTCTGTGTATAGTGTGGCTGCCTAACTAGACAACATTTGGGGCTTTTTAGACATTCTCGTGGCTGAGAGTGCATGTAAGCAATTGCATGTAAGCTTACTAGAGTACAGAAGTTACATTATCTATGTAGTGAACTGCCAAATCTAGACCGTTTTGGGGGGCATTGTAGGCATAATAGACTTTCTCTTGGCTGAGAATCTGTCCAAGCTCATGCAACTGTGCAAGTCTTCTTGATAGTCATCTTACAAAAGTGCAGAAGTCACATTCTTTGTGTACTGAGCTGCCTAACTAGAGAATTTTGGGGGGATTTTAGGCATTTTAGGCGTTCACTTGGCTGAGATTGCATATGAGCTCATGCATCTGTATGATGCCCAAAATGCTGTCTAGATAGTCAGCTCACTAGGGTACAAAAATCATTCTTTGTGTAGTTAACAGCCTAACTAGAAAGTTTTTGTGGGAGTTTTAGGCACGTTTTAGACATTTTAGATGTTCTTTTTGCTGAGAATGTATGCAAGCTTATGCAACTATATGATAACCAAATGCTGTCTAGATAGTCAGCTTACTAGGGTACAGAAGTCATTTTTTAGGCGTATTTTAGACATTGTCTCGGCTGAGTGAACTGCATGATGCTCAAAAATGCTGTCTAGATCAGTGTTTCCCAACCTTTTTTTAGTCGTGGCACCCTTTGGAAATTTTAACAAACTTGTGGCACCCTACAAAATTAATTTTGTCACAATATTTGAATTTCTAACTTCGATATGATAATTTGAAAAGTGTAGATATTCGGTACAACAGGGAAGAACTGCAGAATATAATGTCATACAGATATTTTTAATATTATTAAAAAGTTTTGTCCATCAATGGTGGCAATCAGTAGGCTAATTTCTAATGAAGAGACCAATTTATATGACAGATTTGAATGTAGGCTCATGTACATATGTAAACATTATTTAATTATCATTATAACTAGCTAGCTCACAAATTTTTGCTCACTCAGTGTATTTTTAATTTTACAATGGGGTAATTTTGGTGCAGTAGCACGAGATAGCTTGATTTCAAACTTTGAATTGAATAAAAAATGACATGTAAGCAGTCAGTAATAAAATAAGAACAAATAAAGAAATGAATAATGATAGCACAAATAAAAAAATAACGACAAGCCTTCGAATTAAATAAATTGCTTTTTAGTTTTTCAGGTAGGTCTAACAGTAGGGTTAAGATATTTAACTTTTTTTTTATTTTTTATCAATTAGCCAAATAATGTTTAGTCGTAGAAAGCTATTATTATCAGAAAATTTCGGTGCATCTCTAATTATTGGCGACATCAGAAATGGATATTATACAATAGATGCTTTTCTGAACATTTTAGCAATTTAAAAATATTAAAAAAATATTTTTTTACACGGCACCCCGGTTGGGATAGTCAGTTTAAGGTACAGAAATTGTACCCTATTGCACTTTAAAAAGTGAGCTAACTTTTTTTTTTTTTTTTTGCATTTTTGCATTTTTTATATCATTTAGAGATAATTTTAGACATTATCTATTGCCCAAGAGTGCATGTGAGCTCATGCAACTGTATGATGCCCCAGCACACTGTCTTAGTAGGCAGCCAGTGTATCTTCTGTACTCTGGTGAGCTGCTTTCCTAGACAGCATTTTTAGGCATTACGGGCACAAAAAAGTCTCTTGGCAAAGAGCATATGTTACGTCACAGTGCGGAGAGAGCATGTAAGCTCATGCAACTGTATAATACATAAAAATGCCGTCTAGGTATGCAGCCTACTAGCTTAGGGTTAGTTTCTGCGCAATCCGTTGCTTACTCAGTCCACTTTCATTTTATGAACTCTTCTGTACCGTCTATTGTTTGAACAACTTTATTTCCCCTTACGTGTATCCTTCTCTAACTAACTGCAGGCAGACTTGTAAACTCAACTCTGACTTATATAAAACTAGGGGTTGTGCATTTTTTCCCACAGAACTTGGGAATATCAGGGAATTTTTTAAAAACATTTGATTTGTAGGTCTGGAAAATGCTCAGCGCTAAAGATTTCATTGCAATTCCTTATGCAGTAATTTCGAATGGCTGGGAAGGTCATGGAAACAGTTTTTTGGCATCCATGACTTGACTACACATTGCACTGCTATTCTAATTAAAACGTGTTGCATGTCTCCTAGCACAATCTGCCATGTACGAGACAGATGTGGTCGTACCGCAGGAGCTGCGGCCGGACGAGGTGCACCTGCTCCAGGGATCCTACAGGTGGAGCAGGGGTCGCCGACCACGCTCGGACCATCAGCAGGAGGACCACCTGTTTCTACGGCTGCCTGCTTTTGGAAAGGAACTGTACTTGCAGCTCCACAGAGACAACTCTTTCCTGGCTGAGGGGTTTGTGACGGAGGAGAGGAGCAAGGAGGGCAGCGTTCAGCACAAGCCTGTTTTAAGGGTCCGACGGTGTTTTTATGCCGGAGCCGTTCTCAATCACACAGACTCTTTCGCCTCATTGGATGCTTGTGGTGGACTGGTGAGTGGAGTTATTATATTTATTATCAGTTTATCTAGAACATTTAAAATATCCTTGAGGTCTAACCTTTTAAAAGTTTGGGTTTAGTAAGACTTTTATTTTTGTTTTTAAAGAAATTAATACTTTTATTTAGCAAAGACAGTGACAGTAAAGACATTTATCATGTTACAAAATATTTCTATTTCAAATAAATGCTTTTCTTTTGAATTTTCTATTCATCAAAACAAAACAAAAAAGTATCACTGCTTCGACAAAAATATTAAGCAGCAAAACTGTTTTCAACATTGATAATAATAATAAATGTTTCTTGAGCAGCAAATCGGCATATTAGAATGATTTCTGATGAATCATGTGACACTGAAGACTGGAGTAATGATGCTGAAAATTCAGCTTTGCATCACAGGAATAAATTACACTTTGCAATGTATGAAAATAGAAAATGTTTATTTTAAATTGTAATAATATTTCAGAATGTCACTGTTTTTACTGAATTTTTGTTCAAATAAATGCAGCCTTAGTGAGCATAGGAGACGTCTCAAAAACATAAAAACAATTAATGGTAGCGTTTGCTATCTGAATTAAGCACTTTTATTGCATTTTATTATTTGCATTTTGCATTGTGTTTTTTTTGTTTTGTTGCGAATCACCAATATAGGCTATTTTTAAATTAAGTAGTTATGCATTATGTAATTATTTGACTGTCTTTTATTTAAGCTAATTTAATATACAGGTAACAGTAATTAAAGAGAACTTGCTTAAATGTCATTAAAATAATGTTGCAATGCTTTTAATTTTTAAAGGGGTCATATGATCTTGTGTATTTGGTGTAATGAAAGGTGTTTATGCGGTTTAAGGCTCAAAAACGCATTATTTTCACATACTGTACATTATTGTTTCTCCTCTATGCCCCACCTTTCTGAAATGCGTTGATTTTTACAAAGCTCATCGGTCTGAAAAGCGAGGTGTGCTCTGATTGGCCAGCTATCCAGTGCATTGTGATTGGCCGAATACCTCAAGTGTGTGATGGAAATGTTACGCCCCTTGCCATACTGTGATGTCGTGTCCAACCGGAGCGACGAGACAAAAACATTAAAACCCATTATAAACGAGGCATTCGTTGCATCCAGTGGGGACATAATTACGGATTATAATGACTTCTACTGTCTTTTTACGCATTGCATCGCGCCACGTAAACATAAAACCTGCATTTGTGATCAGAGAAATGACAAACAACAAGCGCTACTCTACACTGCTCAAAACTCGCATTTGAACTCGCTGCACAAATCTGAATATTTGGGTTGAACTGTTCTGGAACAGTGTTGTAAATACAACTTAACCACTGATTTCTAGTCGTGTCCTCTTTTGGAAGACCAAACCAAGTAGTTTCGCTTTCACAACGAAACACACAGCGTCTTCACAACATAGCTGCGGCGGTGGCAGCAACAATAAAGTTATGCCTTCTTTCTTTGCGTGAAAATTTGGGCAGTGTTATGCACATCTTTCCACATCGTGACGTAGACATGTGGGGGCGTGTTTAAACGAGGCGTTTTAGGAGGGCGTGGACGAGTCTTAACTTTTATAAAGAATATCTCTTTGCGTTTGAGACTTTAGTCTTTGCAACTTTAGGGATCTTATCTATTCACGAACAGCTTGTAACACTCCAAAGAGAAAGGAAAACTTGAAATCACGTCATATGACCCCTTTAAAGTCCTAAAAACAGACTTTATTTTCCTCATGGAGAATACAATTTCTTCTAATTTATCTTTTGATTTTGAGTTGAAATGTGACATTGACATGTTTTCGTGCGATTCACCCAATCACACTGAGTGTGTGCTGGTTATTTGACTTTGTGGTTGTGAGCATTCCAGGCCCACCCACGGGAGAGAGGCTGTGCTTGTTTGAGAAAGAGTTTCCCTGACTTTGGTCCCATTATGATCATTCCATCCTTCAAACATCCTTTGAATGGCTGTGTTAAATGCCATCAATCAAACGGCTGAAAGAGAAATGGCACTCCATTATCGCAAACTGTCAATTGTCTGATTGGTTTGAATACAGTTTTTCGTCATCTGACCGGCCTTGGCCAAGGTTTGTGATCTTCGTTGTGTTCTGCCCAACCTTACTGATAAACCTCACCAATTGACTATTCAGTTAACGGACAACTAGTTGACCACCCTGACTCATCCCTCTTTAGGCTGACTCTGTGGAAAATGAGCTCATCGTTATTGTAAATGTTCTACCCACATGTGGCGAGGACGTTTTTGACACCTAAAGTGAGACTGACAGCGAGCAGATGTGAGGCTCTGGATGGCTGTGCAGATGAGCTGAAGATCAGCTGGGTGTTTTAACTAGCCCCGTCTGACATCTGTCTGTGACGCACCGCATGGGGTTCTCTCTCCATGGGTCATCTGTATGCGAGGAAATACGATTTTGGATGGTGGTAACCGTGTCTTTAGTTAAGTCACTTTTATTTCCAGTGCTTTATACGATAAAGATTGTGTCAAAGCATCTTCACAGTAAAAACTGCAGAATCACTTATGAAAACTCAACTATAGAGACAATTCAGATTCTGTTGTCAAGCAGCTATAAAAAGACAATAGTTTCATTATTTAGCTCAAGCTGGTTTAGTGTTTGTTCAGGTCAGATCAATAACAGTGTGAAGTTCATCAATTTTGAAACGGGTTCAATTCAGCCATAAGCAGCTCTACAAAAGGCAGCGATGACGTTCGTTATTCAGCTCGAGTCTGTTCAGTGTTGATTCAGTTTAGTTCAGTGTCGATGCTGCAAGATGTGATTCAGCTATAAAGCAGCTCTACAGAAGACGAAAGTGCTGTGCCGTTGTGTTCTCATCTGATGGTGTCATATTTTTAGATACTTTCTCATTATTGAGTGAATTAATACAAGTAAATTTAGGGTCCTATGAAATGTGTTTGATTTTTTTCTGGATTCCATTTTTCTAGATTCCGTTTTAATGGTTAAATAAAATTTTACTAACCAGTAAACATGTATAATTAATTGAAATCATGAAATGTATACAATTTATTTATTTTTTCCCCCAAATTCTAGTTTTTCCATTTCAGTGCTACTGGATTAATTACGTTTTAATTACCAAAAAGCATGTCTAATCAATTGAAGTGACTCTTGCGGGTCTTGAAATTAAGTTCATGTGGAGTTTCCTCAAAATAGTGAGACGACAGATGCTGAAAACCGCACGAGTGTCTCGCATGCTGTGCTGAAACTGCGCTCATTCACACACGGACATGCAGAACATGCAGACTTTCAATAGCAATCTTACTGCACTTTAATATTCACAGACACTAGTCCATGTAGCCATTTGATTTATTGTACAGTCCTACTTTTGTACAGTCCTACTTTTGACTTATTCATGCAAAATTTGTTATACTGCGTTATACTGTAAATTCCACTTTTTATGACTAGATTACGTGATTCTGTCTACATTTTGGCATCATGGAAATCATATTTTTAGTTAGTTATAAATTTTTTACAGAGCTTGTTGCAATGCTTAATAAGATTGCATTCTCTCTGAGAATGCATCTGATGCTAATGTTGATTTTGTCCAAAAGAAGGTATCTTATAATGTAGGGAGCTCAGTGGGTTTTGGGACAACGGCCTTCAGACCAGCAAGGAGTCTAATTTTAATAACTTCTACTTAGTAAGCTTGTTTAAACAATGTTGAAGTTGGAGAGGACCCAAACAAGGTTTTCCTGCCTGTTAATGTCATTTCAGACGTTTTTTACGGCTCTATCTCTCTTCAGAGTGTAGCCATATGTAACTGTACTTTGTTTAACCTGGTGCATGTGGGGTTTGCCTGTACTTGTTGTGATGAAAGCGTGTGGTTTACAGCCTCTGTGGGCAACTTCCTGTCAGCACTCCCATGCTCTCCTCCTCCTCCACCCGCCCGGGGCTCAATGCACATCTCCCTCACCTCCAGTCATGTGCATTTTCCACTCTTTTCTCCAGTGAAAGCCTTCGTTGTGCTGTGTGGATGCAGCGTCAATCCAGACTTTCTCACCTGACTGATCGCTGTCGTCGGATTTGATGCTGATTTGGTCATTTTTCATGACTTGGCAACAAGAGAAATTATTCTCACATTTCACATCTTTGTGCCATTGAAGCCACGAGGGGCGTCACAGTCAGACGGAGGGGAAAGAAGGCTAACGTACAGTATATGTGAGATCCTCAGCGGGGATGAATGATCCTGGGTTTGCTGTCATAGAAAACACATCAGCTTCTTCCTGGAGCACATCATCTGAGATTCTATATAAAATCTTGAAGGAATAATTCACCCCAAATTATGGCATTATTTACTGTACAGAAGCGGTTCATAGTGATTAAAAACCACCATAAACGTGCTCCATTGTACTTTAATTTCAGTCAGTTCTTTACACAGAGCTATCATGTGACTTCAGAGGACTTGAAATATAGTGTAAAATTTATATGGACTAATTTTTCAAATTTTAGAGTGCATTAATAAGAGTTTTATTTGTTTGTTTTGTTTTGACGCTACAGATTTGATTTCAAATGCAAATCCGATCCCTTTCGAACTAACGGTCCACACTGTCATTTTGCAAGTGAAGCGGATGAAATACGAGTTGTTTGTTCAGGTAGTATAGTCAATATCCAGTATATCTACATCATATATTATAATAGTTAAATATATATATATATATATATATATATATATATATATATA